AAGAGCAAAGACAATGTTCTTAGAACGTAAGCCCGAGGTGATAAAACAAGACAGTCACAGCCAGAAGTGTTCTGAGAACATTTCGTAGGAGCCACAACAGGTTCTTAGAATATTGTTTCGTAGGGCTATAGCCACGCCAGGACGCTTCGCCACTGCTTCATTGACTACCTACCAGAGCACCCCAACCCAACCCGCAGACCCGAATTTCGAGTTGGGGGGTGGGGGGGGTACGGGCTGCATATGTTTTCTTCAATGTTCCCAGACGCCCCCCCCACTGGGAATGGTCGGCAAATTGGGGCCTTCGGGTTGGGTTTGGGGTGGCTTGGTGGGTGGTGAACCCTCCCTGCCGGCCAGGCCTTCGGCCGGCCCTGGTTAGGGCAGCCCTTGCCATCCTGGCATCGGCCTAGAGCCCCCCCGATCCCCTCAGCAATCCTCGCGATCATCCTTCGGGCGGGGGCGTGAAGACAGGGGCCCCAGAGGGTTGACCCAACTGGGGGCGTGAAGACCCAACTAGGGTTGACCCACTGGGGGTTGACCCAACTGGGGGCGCGAAGACCCAACTAGGGTTGACCCACGGAGGGTTGACCCAACTGGGGGCGCGAAGACCCAACTAGGGTTGACCCACTGGGGGTGGACCCAACTGGGGGCGTGAAGTCAGGGGACCCCGAGGGCTGACCCACTGAGGGTTGACCCAACTGGTTGACCCTTCGGGCGGGCGAGGGTGGACCCAACTGCGGGCGCGGAGGCAAGGGGCCCCAAAGAGGAGCCCACGCGTGGGCCCCTCTTGGAGCCAGCAGGGGCCCCCAAGGGGCCCTGATGGGGACCCTTCTGGGGCCCCTGTCTTGGGGCCCCTGCCTTCACCACCCACTTCTACCACCTGCCCCAATCCCAGCATTCAGTCGGGCCTGTCCCCCTCCAAAATAGCCCAGAAATAATCCAAACATCGTCTGGGGACTATGTTTTGAATATGTGTTGACCTTTTTGGGCATTTTAGGGGTACTTTTCATGTTTCGTCGAAACTCCCGCTGTAGGGGGGCAGGCCCGCCCCCATCCCCGTAGCACGAGAACTTCCGAGCCTCCAGCGATAGGCCCCCGACGGCGACACCGCACGATGCCCGGGCCGGCGGGGCTAGCAGGGCCCCCGCCGGCGACGCCTGGGCGCTCGGGTGCCGACGCATCGCCTCTGAGCCTATGCGCCCCTGACGTTGCCCCTCGTTCTTGAAGGGGGCCCTGGGACACACAAATAAATACACAAACATAAAAAAGATGGCCCATATTTCCCCAGATCTTCTCTGGGTTTCTGTCTTCCCCCCTCACTGCCCATAGTTTTCCATATTTTCGGGGGGGTCGACGATTCATCGTGTCTGTGTGTTTTTTCCCCTCCTGACAGGGCCAGGAGTTGCCAGCGAGACTCGGCTCGGCCTCGCCTGCGAGCTTCCTCGGGAACGCGAGCTCTCGACACGAAGAAGAAGAAACACACATAAACACAAACTTGTGGCGCTCCGCGCGGATTTCTCGGATCCGCGCCGGACCCCCCTCCCTGGCGCGCGGAGCGCGCCGGGGGCGGCGCCGGAGGCGCCGCACGGGGGGCCCAGCGCGGATCCAAGAAATCCGCGCGGAGCGCCAAAAGTTTATGTTTATGTGGTTGTTTCTTCTTCGATCGACGGGCGCCGCCGTGCTCGACGAGCGGTGCCACGCGCGGCTCGTGCAGGAGTCGTCCCACCACAAGGGACGCCGGGCCAGGAGCGAGGGGGCTGCGGTGGCCGCGGCGCGCGTCGCCCACGACTAGGTTCATCCTCCAAAGCCGCGCTAACGGCGATGTTGCTTAACGGCGATGCTGAGAATCCGATTTCTGTGACACCGAGCTCGCGCACAACAAGTGGTGGGAAATCACGAGCGTCACTTTCCCACATTTCACATGTGCGAATGCATCGAGGGAGAACGACGCAGCGAAGTGCAGGAAAGCGCGAACCACGATGTCCTAGAATTGGTTTGGCCACGCACCAATCCTACCTACAATGCCGACACCTACATCGCCGTTACCTACATTCCGTTAGCGCGTCTACGGACCCTATCTGGATCGAAGGACCGGCCCGAAGACCAGAGCCGGTCCTGCGCCCGAAGTGGTCCTTCTTTCGGCGCCTTGGCCGTACCCTCGGATCCCAGCGCCGCATTTTCTCGCAGCGCCGAATCTTGCTCGGCTCGGGCCCCAGGACCCTCTCACGGATCGGTGCGGCCCGGAAGGCGCGGCAGAGAGACGGGGTCCAGGGCGCCCGTCGCGGCTCCGTCGCGAGGCTGCCCTGCCCTCGTGGAGTCGGATCTCGGGGAGGGATGGGGCCGGAAGGAGGGGCTCGATCGTGGGGGGTGGGCGAGGGGCAGGTGGGGAGCGGGTGGGGGCGCCAGAGGGGGCTGTCGGACTGAGTGGCGCGTGTGCCTCCGTGCGCGGGGGCTCCGCGAAGGCGCGGAGCCCGCGCGCACACGGCAGAGCTGCGCGGCGTCGCGGCAAGGACACAGGCGCGGACAGCGTGGCCCACAACGCGAGCAGCTACGGCAGCAGAATCGAGAACACCTGCATGTTTTTGCAACGACTCGAAAGAGTGAGAAAATCAATAAACAACTGGTTCACTACACAGCCACGCCGCAGACCCTTCCACACCAGCCCATTCCATCCTCGTCGTCGTGCACATCCTCCTTCTCCTCCTCCTTCTCCTCCTCCACCTCCTCTTCCTCTCCTTCGGTCCCCGACGTGCTCCTCGTCCTCTTTCTCCGCCTCCTCGCTCTCGTCCCACATCTCCTCTTTGTCCTCCTTATCCACCTTGGGGAAACAGAAAGGTAACGATGCCGCTGCTCCCCGCACCTCTCCCAGGGCATCGTCTGACCAGAATCTCGAAGAGAGTCCAACCGTGGCCACGAGGGCTCACCAAGACGACTGTCGGTACTGGTACCTCTTCCGACCTGGGCCAGGCTCTTTCATCCAATCCCTCGTCCTCCCCATGAGAGGCCTCCCGAATGATCCCATAGGCTCAGGGTGTCGGCGGGGGACCTGGGGCGGGGTCAGATCCGGGCCAGGAATTGCAGAGCGGGGGGGCCCCAAAAACATAGATCCCAGGAGCTGAGGGTGTCGGCGGAGTACCTGGGGCGGGGTCAGATCCGGGCCACGAATTGCATGGGGGGCCCAAGAATACAGATTCCTGGGGGCTGAGAGTGTCGGCGGGGGACCTGGGACGGGGTCAGATCCGGGCCAGGAATAGCAGGGCCGTGCAGATGGGGTCGGAAGATCGGCGATGCGCAACGACCCTTCGACCCCATCTTGGCCGCCCCGATGCGCAACACGCAAGCCGTAGCGTGTTGATTAGGAGCTCATCACGCAGACCGAACACGTAGCTCTGACGCGATACGTTCGCCAAGACGTGGGCCAACACGCTGAGGCAACGCGCAGCGTGATAGCACGGACGTCTCGAACACTGCACGTGCTGCGCGTCAAAACGGGCGCTTCAGCTGAGATTCGGGATCCACCAAAAGGGGGGGGACCCTGAGGGGGGGCATGAATTCGATCCGCTTGTGCACCGAACTGCCGCACACAGATGCCCCCCGAATGCCCCACCTGCCGGCAACTATCGGGAGCTGCCGGCGGCCGGGTGGCATTTGCTTGGGGCGGCTCGGTGCAGACAGCGATCGACACACATACAGACACAAGACACAAGACACACACACACACGACACACAACACACATACACACAACACACACATAAACACGCGACACACACACGGCACACGCACACGCAGCTCACACGCACCCACCCATGCTCGATGCTCGATGCTCGACGCTGAGCTCCCCCCTCCCCGCGAAGGGCAGCGCACGGCGACCCGGCAGATGCTCCGCGGGAAGGCCGGGATCCGCCTGGGCTTGCGGCTGCAGCCGCTGCTCCTGCGGCTGATCCCTCCTGCTGCTCCTCCAGGAGGGGGAGGAGGAGGAGGAGGAGGAGGAGGAGGAGGAGGAGGAGGAGGAGGAGGTGGAGGAGGAGGAGAGGAGGAGGAGAAGGAGGATGAGGAGGGGGGAGGGAGGGGGGGAGGGGGAAGGGGGAGAGGAGGAGGAGGAGGGGAGGAGGGGAAGGAGGAGGAGAGGAGGAGGAGGGGGGAGGAGTAGGAGAGAGGAGGAGGAGGAGGAGGAGGAGCGCGCGGCCCCGCCTCGCAGTCCCGGAGCTTCTCGCGGAGGGACGACACCTCCCTCTCCTCGGGCGGCGGGCGGTCCGCAGCTCAAGGGGGCAGCAGGGGTGGGGAGGGGAAGGAGCCCTGGACCCCCTCGCGTCGGGAACAAAAAAGAGCGACAATAAGTGGCATGAACATTAAAAAAGGGGAATCGGGGAACAACAAGTGACAAGAAAGGGGAATAGGGGAAGAGAGAGTGGCATAAACATACAAACTCGGAGGTCCACGCGGATTTCTCGGATCGGCGCTGGGACCCCCCCGGCGGCGCCTCCGGCGCCGCCCCTGGCGCGCGGAGCGCGCCAGGGAGGGAGGTCCAGCGCCGATCCGAGAAATCCGCGCGGACCTCCGAGTTTTTATGTTTATGCCACTTTTGGTTCCCCTAGGGAAGGAGCCCCGGCCCCCTCGCGTCGGGAACAAAAAATCGCGACGGGAAGCCGCTCGCCGGATTCGGCCTCTGCGGGGCCCTCGCTTGTCCCTGGGACTGTCGGACAACGGCTCTGGACCAAAAGCCGGTCCCAGGGACTGGTCGAGAACTCCGGGGGTCCACGCCGGTAATAGGAATCATGACGTCGGCGGTCTGGGCAGGGGGAGGTGCAGTCGCGAAACCCTGTCTGGATCGCCGCCTATCAAGGGGCCCAGGGACACACACAAACACCCACACACACAAATGCACAGAAAGCCCAGGAGTCCCGATCTCGTTCCCATATCTTTTGGATGCCTAGTTTTCTGATCCCCACCCCTCGACTCCCCATATTTCCAAATCTTTTCCAGGGAATCGACGGTCCTTTGTGTCGTGTGTGTGTGTGTGTTTCCCTCCTGAGCATATCTGGATCCTTCTTCCTGGCACTGTTTTTTCTCCGGACACCGAAGGCGACTCGAGCCCATTCGTCCCGCAGCCCCAGCCGCCCGGCCACGGCTCACGCGCCCTTCTTGCGCAGCGCCGCCAGCGCCTCCGCCATCTCGTCGCGCTTCTTCTTGCCCCGCTTGTGGGTCCCCAGGCGCTTCTTCGCGACCTCCAGGGCAGGACGCGGGAGCGACCCCGAGCCGTGAGCATCCTTTGACCGATCCCTATCCCCGCTGGCACGGCCCCCGGGTGGGCATTGGATCGGGAACGCTTAGAGAAGGAATCCAGGGTCTGGAAGCCAGTGGAACTTCGATCGTGGGTCGGTCATAGACATCACCGCCTCCCGCATTGGAGAAGGGATCCTCCAGGGTCTGGCGCCCTCTGGGACCATTCCCTAACAGACGCCTCCACCGTCGGAGGTTGGGGGGTGAGAGCGCAGTGAAACGGAGACCCCCCACCGGGAAATCGATTTCGGTTTCGTGTGCGTGTCACGCCTTCCAATCCAACCCATCCTACCTTACCCAATCCAATCCACCCAACCCAATCCAATCCACCCAAGCCATCTGATCTTATCCAATCATCAAAGTGACAGGCTGGAGGTCAGTCAGGGTGGGCATTTGAGATCTCCCCCCCCCCCGGACCTCCCTATCGCCCGCAGGGCGGTCGTATAGGTATACGCTGCTCCCTTCGGGCTTCGCAGGCTACAGGGCAGTTTTTAATACATGGCTCTTAAAACATAGGATTTAAGACATGACTAACTTATGAGTAAATGTATGCATGAGCTCATCGTCGTTTTTTTTTTTTTTTTTTTTTTTTTTTTTTTTTTTTTTTTTTTTTTTTTTTTTTTTTTTTTTTTTTTTTTTTTTAAATAACTCCCTGCATTTGTAAGACATGATCCGCACGCGGAGCATGTATTAAAAACGGCACTGTACACCCTCGCCCTCATTCTTCCAGACCTTTCGTGCTGACCTTCCACACTCTTGCGTTTCGTGAACGGCTGACTCTTCCTGCGTTTCCCGAGGCTTTCAATAGTTTCATTGCATCACCTTCCGCGCCTTCCGCAGAGGTCGGAAGGTCTGGAAGAATGAGGGCGAGGGCAGCCATCGCGCTACCGAGAGGCACGCTGCACAGGGCACCGCCGGGCCCGCCTAGCCACGGCAAGAGCCCCGGCCACGGACGGGCTCCAAGAACGACCCGGGCACCGACCGAGGAGTCCTCCTCCTCCTACCTCCTCCTCCTCTTCCTCCTCCTCCTCTTCCTCCTCCTCCTCCTCATCCTCCTCCCTCCTCCTCCTCCTCCGCTTCCCCTCCTCCTCCTCCTCCTCCTCTCCTCCTCCTCCTCCTCCTCCTCCTCCTCACTCCAGCGCCTCGACTGCACATGCAGGACCGACCCCGGGGCAAGAGCAGCCCTCGGTGCGCGGCTTCAGTGAGGGGCAACGATCGGGGGGGGATAGGCACAGGGGGCAGGAAACATCGACCTGGAATCGGCGATGCATCGCCGATAGATCGGCGATAGGCCTCCGATCGTGAAACCGAACCTTCCTGGGCAGGTTGGGGCTACCGGGCCCCTATCGACGATCAATGGGCGATTGGGGGTCGATGCATCCCACCCTACGCCCCCTACGCCTATCCCCCCCTTTTCGTTGCCCCTGATTCAGGAGGGGGGAGCAGCACGGGGGGCCGGTGTGGGGAGGGGGGGCGGCCGAACCCAGGAGCGCGAGCCGCTGCCAACGCACAGCGTTCGCCCGGTGGACCCGAAAGGGGGTCCAGCGACAAAGGGGTGGTGCAATAGATTCGCGGGGTTGCAATAGATTTGGGGCGTGCCATAGACTCACGTGCGCAAATGTATTGCTGGGTCTTCGCTTTGCGTGCAGTGCATTAGTTGCAATACAATGCAGGACAAGTCACTGGCGCAAATGCATGTGCAATACAGTTGCCACACGTCTATTGCACCACCCCTTGTCAGCTGGACACCCTTTTGGGTCACCCAAAAGCTTGGCCCCCCCAGGCCCCCCCACATCTTTGGGTTCAGGGCTCTCGAAACCGACGACCACATGACCCAGACCCCCCCTCGGGTCATCAACAAAATAAATCGCGACGGGAGGCCTTTCCCTCTCTTCTGCTTCTGGGGTCATCCATCAAATCGCGACGGGAGGCTTTTCCCTCCTTTCTGCTTCTGGGGGCCTTTCAGCTGGACCCCCTGATGGGTCAACCAAACCTCGGCGATCGGGGGACCCTCGTTGGGCCCCCACCGAAGGCCCCTCCGAGTCGGGCACCTGGCCCTCGAGCCACCACTCCGACCGCCGGCGGTAGTTCGGGGCGAGCCTTGTGAGGAGGAGGAGGAGGAGGAGGAGGAGGAGGAGGAGGAGGAGGAGGAGGAGGAGAGGGAGAAGGAGGAGGAGGAGGAGGAGGAGGAGGAGGAGGAGGAGGAGGAGGAGCACGAGGAGGAGGAGGAGGAGGACGAGGACGAGGAGGAGGAGGAGGAGGAGGAGGAGGAGGAGGAGGAGGAGCCTCCAGACCGCTCTCCTCGGCGAGGCGCAGCCGCTGGAAAAAGCACCCCGGGGTGAGAACACCTCCAGGAGCCCCCGGGGAGCAAGCCGCTGCCGTAGGACCCCACTCTGCCATCGGAGGGCCCCAGAAAGTCCCGCACTTCAGAAGGCCACCCCTGCGCGAGCCGAGGGCCACTCCAACCCTGGCTCTGACGTTGCGAAAAATTGCGGCGCCGTCGGAAAACTCGACCGGACTCCATCTGAGCGACGAGAAGAGACGGGTCTTACGCGAGATGACACAGCGGCCATACGCGGCAGCTCGCGCGGGCCGCCAGTGCAGCACGCTGCATTGGGAACGAGGGCGCTGACGCGCCATATTGCGCGGGCAGCTTACGCGCCAGTGACGGCGCAGACGATCCAATGTTCTTCCGTCGCTCATCTTTCTGAACCATCTTTCGAGCTGGATCCATCCGTGACGGCTCCTGCATCGGAGCGAGGCAGAGACACCCGTCGCGAAAAGCACCGCGACGCCAGGATCAGAGGGAAGCCGCTGCCATCGCACCGCATTCGGCGATCGGGGGACCCCAGCGGGCCAGCACCGAGGGTCATCCCAGCGGAAGGTCAGTCTGGCGAAAGGTCACTCTCACGTCGGATATTTGGTCTTCGGGTCATGCCTCCGGAGGCCGTTCGAGACGATCGTTGCACCCCCAGAGTCCTTAGCTTTAGGTCGGGCATGTCCCCCTACAGGGGGATCTTGGACGCAAAATAAAAACCAAAACTATACTCCCCAAATCATCAAAAATACAGAACAAGCGTCCCAAGACTATGTTTTAGTATCTGTAAATGTTCCTCCTGTAGAGGGCAGGCCCGACTTAAGCTTAGCCCTCGGCGAGGGGAAAGCGCGAACACGCTCAAAAACCTCGAACCTTGAACCCCTGCCCGCACCAAAGGCCAGCCCCCGGCGAAGGGTCACCCTTACATGCAGTCGAGCCCAACCTTCAAGGCGCGCTTCAGCGTGGCGGCGGAGCCCACCCGCAACAACTCGATCATGCGGCGCTCGTACGGGGCGAAGCCAGCGACCTCGCGGACCACCTCAGTGGCTTGGACAGCGGCAGCAGCACTGACCCAAATCTCCGACGACATATCTCTTTCGATCCCAGCGTTTGCTCTTCGATCTTGACCTCTGGAGCCCGCTATCGGGCACAAGGGCTATCAAACATGCATCTGGGACTCACCACTACCCGCGGAGGATGGTTTGGGGCCTCCCTGGACTGACCACACATGTCGGGTGGTGTCTGCGGGTGCATCACCCGGTAAGGCTTCGGGCTGCGCGCAGACAGCCCCCCCAGGCAGTCCTGGCTGGCCTCGACGAGCCTTCCCCGGTGGCCCCGGCGGGCCTCAACAGGCGCCTCGAGTAGTCCAGTGCGGTCCGAGTAGTCCGGGGACGTCTTGGCGCCGTCTCGAGATCATCTTCAAGGAACATCCTCCCCCTCCTCTCCCACCTCCTCCTCCTCCTCCTCCTCCTCCTCCTCCTCCTCCTCCTCCTCCTCATTCCCCTCCTCCTCCTCCTCCTCCTCCTTCCTCCTCCTCCTCCTCCTCCTCCTCCTCCTTCCTCCTCCTCCTCCCCCTCCTTCCATCCCTCCTCCTCCGCCACCTCCTCCACTCCTCCTCCTCCTCCTCCTCTTCCTCCTCCTCCCCCCTCCTCCATTGCCAAGCACATCGATAGAAGGAGTGGTCCTCCTCTTCGCCTCCTCCTTTTCTTCCTCCTCGCCCTACTCTCCGTCCTCCTCCTCCTCCTCCTCCTCCTCCTCCTCCTCCTCCTCCTCCTCCTCCTCCTCCTCCTCCTCTTCCTTCCCCCCTCCAACTTATGGTGGTGGTGGTGGAAAACAGGCCCATCACTGATGAGTCAACTAAACCTCGGCGATCGGGGGACCCTCGTGGGCCCGCACAGAAGGCCCCTCCGAGTCGGACACCTGATCCTCGAGCCAACACTCCGACCGCTGGCGGCAGTTCGGGGCGATCCTTGTGCCCCCAGGCCGCTCTTCGGGAGCGGCCAAGAGGGGGGTGTCCAAGAGGGGGGGGGTGCAAATCATGACCGGCGGCATGTGCGCGGCCCAGCGGGGGGGCCAGGGACGTAATGAAACAAGAAGAGGCGCCATGAGATCTGGGGAAATATCATGGCCACCGCCATGATATCCCCCCCCTAATCATCACCCCCCTCTTTGCCGCCCCCGAGAAAACTGAATAAAGCCCTGGACCCCTCACTTGTGCGGCAAATTTTCGGGCTGGATCGATCCGTGAGGGTCCTGGGGGGCCCGAAACTGGGCAGAATCGGCCGATGTGAAAAAAGGCGACGCCGGGGTCTCGGTGGTTGGCTCCAACCTCTAGGCCTCAGACCTCCTTGATGAGACTGCCGCGCTGCGACTTGCGGCCTATGCGGTAGGACGGCTTGCTCTTCAGGGTGCGGCGCGTGGTGATGAAGCCCTCGCTGGCCGTTCACAACAGAGGCAAAGGCCGTGCTTCCCATCCCCCGCGGGGGGACACCCGCCGTGTCCGCGCCCTCTCCAAGTGCCTTTGAGATCTGACCTCAGACCTCGACCAGAGCCCTGGACCCTTCCACATGTTAGCATTATCCCTCTTCGCCCTTCTCTTCAACATTCTTTACTGAATCGTCTCTTCTTCCTCCTCCTTCTCTTCCTCCCATCCCTTTCCTCCTCCTCCTCCTCCCTCCCTCCTCCCCCGAGTCCCTCCTCCTCTCCTCCTCCCCTCCCTTTCCTCCTCCTCCTCCTCCTCCTCCTCCTCCTCCTCCTCCTCCTCCCTCTCCTTCTCCTCCTCTTTCTCCTCCTCCTCCTCTTTCCCGCATGTTCCTGCGAATCGACGCTTAAGTGTGTCTGTGTGATGATTTACCTCCTGACTCAGTTCTCCTGAAGTCCCGGAAAATCTTCGCACACGTCTGCTGCAGGTCCCCGGGAGCCTCTGCGAGGCCGCTCTCTGGAGGGCCCTTGGGAGGCCCCCGCCGGGGCCTCCCGAGGGCCCTCCACGGACCCTTCTCGAAGCCGAGGGGCCCCCCACGCGCAGGACCAGTCAGCGCCGAATCGGGAAGTCGAATCACATTGTGGGGGAAAACACGCACTAAACACACACACACACACACGCACACGCACACGCGCACGCACACGCACACACACACAAACACACACACACACAAACAAACAAACAAAACACACACACACACACACAAAACACACACACACAAACACACACACACACACACACAAAACACACAAAACACACACAAACACACATTCACAAACACACAACAAACACACACACACACACAAAACACGCAGACCACACACTCACACACACAAACACACATACACACGCACGCCAGGACGCTTCGCCAGGACGCTTGGTAGGACTATAGGCACACCAGGACGCTTCGCCACTGCTCGAAACACACACACACACGCACACACACATACACACATACACACATACACACACCCACACTGTGGGAAACAAACACACACTGTGGGATAACACACACACACACACACGCACACGCACACGCACACACACAACACACACACACACAAAACACACACACACAAACACACACACACACAAAACACACAAAACACACACAACCACACATTCACAAACACACAACAAACACACAACAAACACACACACACACACCAAAAAAACGCAAACCACACACTCACACACACAACCACACACACACAACAAAAACACGCAACACACATACACATACACACAAACACACACACACAAACACACCCACACACATACACACACACACACACACACCGTGGAGAAAAAACGCACAGTGGGGAAAACACACACACACCGTGTGTGTGTGTGTGTGTTTTCCCCACCGTGTGTGTGTGTGTTTTCCCCACGGTGTGTGTTGGATCACATCGAGATAGCGTCGGATCGGGTGGCATCGGCTCGAAGTCGAGTCCGACCGGCGGCGCAACGATGCGCAACACCGCCATGCAAGCATCTGGCCGCGCAGCACCAATGGAACATCGAAGCTGGATCGGATCGCCAGAATCGGCCTCGAATCGGATCGAACTGGTCCCCCCAGCTGGGGAGGAAGCTTGGGCGATGCTTACTGTCGGGCCGATAGAGAAGGGGGCAGGGAGACGTGCACTTGTCGTCCCCCTGTTGGGCCCCAGAGGGTCCCGCTGGGGCCCCGAAAGTGCTCGAGAAGTGCACCTTCCCAGAAATCCGATGTCGGGATTTGTTCAATGCGGGGTGCCCCGGAAGTCTCGACCCCTTCCCCAGGACCGGTTTTGCATCCTGCGTCGTTCCTTGACGGTCCCGAGGCCTGGCGAGGGCCCCTGGGGGCCGATCTCTGCGAAGTACCTCCGTCTTGATTTTTGTCCATGCGTAGGATCTCTGGGTTTGCTCACCCCCCGTTGATCGCCCTCCCGTTGCGCAGCGCCCGAAAGGTCAAGAAACACACACACACACTTGAGCAGGGACCAACCGTCCCGGCATTCCTATAGTTATACCACGAAGTGTTCTTAGAAACCGAAAGTGTTCTAAAAACAAAAACAATGTTCTTAGAACGTGAACCCGACGTGTTAAAACGAGACAACCCCAGCTAGAAATGTTCTAAAAACATTTCGTGGAAACCACAGAAGGTTCTTAGAACATTGCTTGGTAGGACTATAGGCACGCCAGGACGCTTCGCCACTGCTCGAAACACACACACACACACACGCACACACACACACACATACACACATACACACATACACACATACACACACCCACACTGTGGGAAACAAACACACACTGTGGGATAACACACACACACACACACACGCACACACGCACACGCACACACACACACAAAACACACACACACACAAAACACACACACAAACCCACACACACACACAAAACACACAAAACACACACAAACACACACACACATTCACAAACACACAACAAACACACAACAAACACACACACACACCAAAAAAAACACGCAAACCACACACTCACACACAAACACACACACACAACAAAAACACGCAACACACATACACAGACACACAAACACACACAAACACACCCACACACATACACACACACACACACCGTGGAGAAAAAAACGCACAGTGGGGAAAACACACACACACACACACCGTGTGTGTGTGTGTGTTTTCCCCACCGTGTGTGTGTGTGGGTGTGTGTGTGTGTTTTCCCCACGGTGTGTGTTGGATCACATTCTGTGTGTTTTCCCCACGGTGTGTGTGTTTTCCCCACAACCCCAGCTAGAAATGTTCTAAAAACATTTCGTGGAAACCACAGAAGGTTCTTAGAACATTGCTTGGTAGGACTATAGGCACGCCAGGACGCTTCGCCACTGCTTGAAACACACACACACACACGCACACACACATACACACACATACACACATACACACATACACGCACCCACACTGTGGGAAACAAACACACACTGTGGGATAACACACACAAACTGTGTGTGTGTGGGAAACACACACAGTGTCTGTTTTCCCACACACACAGTGTGTGTGTGTGTTTTTCCCACGTGTGTGTTTTGTGTGTGTGTGTGTGTGTTTTCCCCACAGTGTGCGTTTTTTCCCACAGAAGTCGAATCACATCGAGATAGCGTCGGATCGGGTGGCATCGGCTCGAAGTCGAGTCCGACGGACGGCGCAACGATGCGAAACACCGCCGTGCAAGCATCTGGCCGCGCCGCACCAGTGGAACATCGAAGCCGGATCGGATGGCCAGACTCGGCCTCGAATGGGATCGAGCTGGTCCCCCCAGATGGGGCGGAGGCTTGGGCGACGCTCACTGTCGGGCCGATCGAGAAGGGGGCAGAGAGACGTGCACTTGTCGTCCCCCTGTTGGGCCCCAGAGGGTCCCGCCGGGGCCCCGAAAGTGCTCGAGAAGTGCACCTTCCCAGAGATCCGATGTCGGGACTTTTTCCATGCGAGGTCCCCGGAAGTCTCGACCCCTTCCCCAGGACCGGTTTTGCATCCTGCGTCGTTCCTTGACGGTCCCGAGGCCTGGCGAGGGCCCCTGGGGGCCGATCTCTGCGAAGTACCTCCGTCTTGATTTTTGTCCATGCGTAGGATCTCTGGGTTTGCTCACCCCCCGTTGATCGCCCTCCCGTTGCGCAACGCCTGAAAGACCAAGAAAAACACACACACACAACACACAACACACAACACACAACACACAACACACAACACACACACACACACACACACACTTGAGCAGGGACCGATCGTCCTGGCATTCCTATAGTTGTACCACGAAATGTTCTTAGAACCCGAACATGTTCTAATAACAAAAACAATGTTCTTAGAACATGAACCCGACGTGTTAAAACGAGACAGCCCCAGCTAGAAATGTTCTAAAAACATTTCGTGGAAACCACAGAAGGTTCTTAGAACATTGCTTGGTAGGACTATAGGCACGCCAGGACGCTTCGCCACTGCTTGAAACACACACACACATACACACACACACACACACACACACGCACACACGCAACTCTGCCGCTTGCAGCCGGCCTGCCTTGTTCAGGCCCGCGGCCAGGCCGGTGGGTTCCGGCTTGACGTAGCCGGCCTTCGCCATGGCGGCGACGCTGCTCTCTGCGGGTGCGCCAAGGAGGAAGGCCAGGAACAGGGGGGGGAGCAGCGCAGCATGGCCCGAGGCACGTGCGCGGACGAGGGTGGGCCAAAGAACGCGCTGCAAGAACAATCATAGAAATATCAGAATAACATGAAGAAGAGGATGAGGAGGAGAAGGATGAGCAGGAGGAGCAGGAGGAGAATGGCGAGGAGGAGCAGCAGGAGGACGGCGAGGAGGAGCAGGAGCAGGAGGAGGATCAGCAGGAGGAGGAGGAGGAGGAACAGAAGGAGCAGGAGGTCGGGGAGGAGGACGGCGAGGAGGACTTCTCCTCCTCCTTCTCCTCCTCCTCCTCCTCCATTTCTTTCTCGTCCACCACCCTCCTGTCCTCCTCTCTCCTCTTGGGCGTCCCCGATCTCTGGCTTGCCTTGCCGCGCGCGGTGGGCCCGATCCCGAGCCTGCCTCGTCCGAAATCCTTGGGCTGCCCCTTCGAACCACAAGGAGCGGCCGCGCGCGGATCAGCGCGAGCAGGAACACTGGAGGAGGAGAAGGAGGGGTGAGAGGAGGGGGAGGAGGATGGGGAGGGGGGAGGATGGGGAGGGGGGAGAGGAGGGGGAGGAGCATACCACGGAGAACGCAATCTCCCGCTGCCCCGCTTACGTGGTCCCATCACCGGGGCCCTCCTCCACACCCGGGGCCTGGACCGCTCCAGGCCGCCATCCTGACAATCGCAGGCGGGGCGCCCGCCCCCACGGCTTGGCCAGGGAACAAAAAACGACGACGCACCGCGGAGGCCCCACGGGGCTCGTCCGGGACCTCGCCTTTGCATTTCTCTTTCCTACCTCGACCGACGTTTCGTTGGCCACGGCCACCCTGGCGCCCACGCAGTCGTCTGAGGTACGGTATCACGTTTTCTCTCTCGGAGTTGTCCCTGGCCGTCGTTGACTTTCCGACGTTTGGCGCCTCCGACGGACTTGCAGCTTTGCACGCTGGCAGTTCCCCTCAGTCTCAGTCCCCTCAGCCCCCCATCTGAGGCCTCGGCCGCGCTTAGTTGTCGCCTCGCGCGCCGCTATGTTTGTTTTTCCCGCGCTTCCTTTGCCTAGTTAGTCTCTGCGTAGCCCGCTTTGACCTGACACGCCGCCGGCGCGCTCGCCCGCGGCCGCTGACCAAAAAGGATGCCCCACGGGGGTGGGGGGGCGGGTTGCTGCGGCGCAGGCCCGCTGCAGGTAGTCGGCGGCAGCGGCCACGACGGGTGGGCGACGACGCACTGCGGATGGCCTCATGACGACGACGACGCGCTGGGGCATGTGGGCGTGAGGTGGTGTGTTGGACGACGGCAGCGACAACGACGACGACAACGACAACGACGACGACAACTGCGGCACGCCAGTAGTCAGCATGAGAGGTGGGGAATTACTTCGCCTCGGATATATGCGGTCCATAGTTCAACGTCTAAACGAAAAAAACAATCGTTTTGAGGCTGCCGCGAAGGGAGTTACACGATCCTCTCGGCGGCGCCCGCGGCGACCCCTTGGCGCGCGTTATCCAAAGTAGACGTAGATTCCGCGGGGCTTATCAATTCACTAGCCATGGGCCATGGGAAGGGGGAGAGTTCATTGATCATCGCAGGCTGGCGTTCTTGAGCAACTCAAAGCATCGTATGTGTTATTTCCCGACGCGGCGGATCCTAGCGTCGCATCAGTTTGCTTACCTCGGTCTTCCAGCCTCGGGATGCGTTCCAACGGTCGTGGCTTGCCGAAAGCACTCTGAGGTTGGCTGGATCGCCGCGATCGGCCAACAGAGAACCGAACTGTGCCCGAAAATATGATGGGGGTTGGGCCAACCCTCAAATGATGGCGTCGCATCAACTGGCTCGTAAAAGGCTGTCTTGCTATGCCCCAGGCCGGCGGATCCGCACGGATCGCTCCGGCTCGCAGATGGCAACAGGAAGATGGGCTCCAAGACTGCGTCCAAACTTTGCTTGCGATGTTGCATGCCTCGTGACGTCGGATATGAAAAACAAGAAGAGAAGACGGAGAAGGAGAAGGGAAGGATACGGACGAGAAAGGCGAGGAGGGGTACTGAGAAAATGAAGAGAAAGGCAACAAGGAAGAGGAAGAGGATTCGGGCCAAAATAAATCCTATATGTATCAACAGTGCTGCAATGTGTCCTCCAATCCCGAGTCCCCTGCTCACCAGTCCCTACAAGGATTCCTCTTCACTGGTCCGCAATTCAGGCGAGAGCTCTGCTTTGAAGGACACCATTCGACCTATAAAGAATGCGACACAATGGGGCCTCACAATTCAAAGAAATGTTCCGCGACACGCCCGCTGTTGAAAATAATTACCCTGCATCCGTGTAGCTGCTGCACACTGCCATGAACATCTGAAACATAAGGTTCAACGACTCCTCACGCGAGAACCACATTTGAAAACCATTCCGTGCAAACGCTGACCAACTTCACACTGGTGGCAATTTGGGCGAAGAAATCGCAAGCGGAATCCGTACACTCCTCGTGAAACGCTGCCGCAATTTACGGATTCGTGCGCTTGAAGCCCCAGGAATGGCATTCTGGCAGAATTCAGGATTGGCGGGACGCTACAATCACGGTGAACTGCTGTGCTGAAATCCCAGGTGTGGTGTTCTGGCACGATTGAGGACTGCCAGACAGCAGGAGGCACTTTGATTCGCGGCGCTGAAATTCCTGGACTTGCATTTTGTAGTCGTGTAGGCAATTTCCGCAGTGGATAGAAATTCTTGTAATCAGGGTCCTGTGGGGAGGGAACTTGGAGGGAAGGCTTATCAACATCGTTGGTGCGCTTTGGTTTTGCACTGGTCCTCCTCTTCCTCCTCCGTCCTCCGTTCTCCTCCTCCTCCTCCTCCTCCTGCTCCTGCTGCTCCTGTTCCTCCTCTTCCTCCTGCTCCTCCTCCTCCTCCTCCACCGCCTCATTCCTAGTTCCGTCCTCCTCCTCCTCCTCCTCATTCCTGGTTCCGTCCTCCTTCTCCTCCTCCTCCTCCTCCACCACCTCTCCTCCTCATCATCATCCTCCTCCTCCTCTCCCTTCCTCCTCCTCCTCCTCCTCCTCTCCTCCTCCTCCACCTCCTCCTCCTCTTCTCCTCCTCCTCCTCCTCCTCCTCCTCTACCTCCTCTACCCTCCTCCTCCTCCTCCTCCTCCTCCTCCTCCTCCTCCTCCTCCTCCACCTCCTCTCCTCCTCCTCCTCCTCCTCTCCTCCTCCTCCTCCTCCTCCTCCTCCCCTTCCTCCTCCTCCTCCTCCACCTCCTCCTCCTCCTCCTCCTCCCTCCCTCCCTCCCTCCCTCCCTCCCTCCTCCTCCCTCCCTCCCTCCCCTCCCTCACTCCCTCTCCTCCTCCTCCTCCTCCTCCTCCTCCTCCCTCCTCCTCCTCCTCTACCTCCTCCTCCTCCTCCTCTCCCCTCCTCCTCCTCCTCCTCCCTCCTCCTCCTCTCCTCCTCCTCCTCCTCCTCCTCCTCCCCTCCTCCTCCTCCTCCTCCTCCTCCTCCTCCTCCTCTCCTCCTCTTCCTCCTCCTCCTCCTCCTCCTCCTCCTCCTCCTCCTCCTCCTCCTCCTCCCCTCCTCCTCCTCCTCCTCCTCCTCCTCCTCCTCCTCCTCCTCCTCCTCCTCCTCTCCCTCCTCTTCCTCGGCCCTCCGCTTCCTGCGCCTGGGCCAGCCGCGGGGGGACCCTCCCGCGCCCGCGCGGGGGCGCCCGCGCTGTGGCGAGGGGGCGGGCGAGGGGCTCCAGGTCGCCAGCGCGGCGGCGGAGGCGCTCGCGTTCCTCCCGCTCCTGGGGGGCCGTCGTCGTCGTCATCGCCGATCGTGGGGGTCGACCTCCCCTTTCCACATCTTTCCTTCTTGCTTCCCTCTCCTTCCTCTTTCCTCCTTCCTCCTCCCTCCTCCCTCCTCCTCCTTTCCTCCCTCCTCCTCCCCCTTCCTCCTTCCCCCTCCTTCCTTCTCCTCGTTCCTCCTACCTCCTGGTGGTCCTCCTACTGTCAATCCTTCCTCCTCTCTCTTCCTACTTCGTCTTCCCTCCTCCTTCTTGCTTCCTCCTCCTGCCTCCTCTTGCTTCCTGCTTCATCCTTCTACTGCCTCCGCCTTCCTCCTTCCTTCTCCTACTGCATCCTCCTTCCTCCTTCATCCTCCTTTCCTTTTGACCGCATAACTGCTACCGTCCGCGCGGCGCGGGCCCCCCGGGCAGACACGGAAGAGCTTGAAATAAACTATATATAAGAACCGGGACCCAGCGGTCTGCCAGCGACTCAGCGCCCCCCGCCGCTCGCCCATGGGACGGCCCATGGCGCGAGACATGCGAGGAGAGCACTGGACGCCCGCTGGGGGCTGCGCACTCTTTTCCGGGGCCTCCGGCGAGCGCGAATTGAGCCGGCGGGAAGGTCGGGGCTGCGCCCTGGTCCCAGCCAGCCGCGTAAGATCGCGGCTGGTGGGAAACGCCGGGGGCACCCCAGACACTGCTCTTACGCCCATCGCCCAGGCGAACCGCGCGCCCCACGTAAAATGTGGGGAGACGGCGTCCAGGGAGGGCACAGAGGTAGGCGGATCTACCCCTGGCCCCCAGGGCCGGCGTTCCCCCTTGTCTTTTGCCCGGGAACCAGCGCGCTTCGCCTCTGGCCCACCACTGGGCCCGAAGCGCGGGGCAGGGCGGGAGACGGGGCCGGGCAGAGAATGGGGCAGGAAGCCGGGGGGGGGGCCAGGGCAAGGGCAAGCCCTGCACCTCTATCTTCCATACCTTCCGACCTCTGCGGAAGGCGCGGAAGGTGATGCATTAAAACGATAGGAAGCCTCAGAAAACGCAGGAAAAGTCAGCCTTTCACGAAGCGCAAGCGTGTGGAAGGTCAGCACGGAAGGTCTGGAAGAATGAGGGCGAGGGAAGGGGGGAGAGGGGAGGGGGGACGGCAAGGACTGCATGGGGACCCGGGGAGGCGCGAGGGCGGCGCAGGCAGGGGAAGGGAGAGGAGGGACTGGCGGGGCGCCACGGGCCTAGGGAGGGCGGGCCGGGCAGAGGTCGAGGAGGATTGATCCTCCTCTATCCTCCTCGCTCCTGGAAGCTCCTCGATCCTCCTCGCTCCTCGTTCCTCCTCGCTCCTCGATCCTCCTCGATCCTCCTCGCTCCTCGCTCCTCGGGCCGGGGCCAAGGGCTCCATGCTTCTCAGGCGGGCCCCTTGCCTGCCTACAATGGGCCGCGAGGCGCCGGGATACTGTGAGGACCTCCGCGTCGTCGCGGCACCGGCGCCACAGCTCTGCCGCACTGCCCCCTTCCGTATAGGGGTGCCTGCGGCTGCGCCCTGAGCGGCGAGGGCTGCCTGGGAGCACGCCCCGAGGTGGCAGCCGTCCACCGGGGCCTCGACGCCGCGCCGCCGGCAGGGCGCCACCAGGCTGCCGCCGTGGGTCGTGAGCCGGCCCTGGAGCCGCAGCTGCGCCCAGGGGCGGGCGGCGTGGCACACCGGGGCTAGGGCGCTGAC